ACGTAGAATTAAGGCAGTTCTGAAGGCGAAAGGGGGTCAAACACCGTATTAGTATGGTGTTCCTAATAATCCTTTAGGTGAGTGTATAATGCTTGATTTACACATGGTCTGTAACTGATTGAAGCAGTTTTTGTCAGATAGGAGAAAAGGGTAGAATACCAAACCAATTCTTAATGTTCGTACATACAGTCATACCGTACTATTCGGGAGACCGAAGCACCTTGAGTTATAGAAACACAAGGTCGTCAGAAGCCGTACTGTAAGGTACATACACGGTGGGAGATTTATACACAGTTAAGGACACGCGAGGATCGGACAGGGCTCACATAAGATATGGGCAAACATACACGCCACAATCGGGAAATACATTAATAACAGTACAACAAGGGGCAATTCCCCGCGAGCATGCCGGGATATGATAATCCCCGCTGGCGATACAATACTATTAACTAATAGCCTACTGGAAAGCACGAGGTTCCTAATTACAACAAAAAAAAAATACGGATATAAACAATTATTACCTCTGCTAAAGTGACAGTCCCCTTCAGGCGCGTTGCTGCATTTTCATACTCAGGAGCTAATTTCTGACATTTTTTGCACCTGGCAAACAAACGATGACCGGCTGTTATTACGATGAACAGTAATACACACCACAAATTTTAATCGCAGCTTTCTAGTCACTTACCATTTATTAATACGTACCCAAAACACAATCGCATTTATCCATTTCCAAATTAAAACTAACCAGAAATTCAGCGTGCAGCCATAATTCGTGTCTCCAGCGCATGCATAATCCACTTTCATGTATTTTTTTCCCAATCTAACATACCAGCCCTAAACCGCCAATCCCCCGAAACAACGTAAAATCCACCTTACTGGTAATTTTATGTCATAACACCTGGATATCGACTACACAGAACATGCCGGCATTTAAAAAATAATTGTTATATGCATATTTTTCCCTTACCAAGGGGCAAAGAATTTCACCAGCATCATATCCTGCTCGGACACCCAGTAGTCGAAGTCGGTGTTTTGGAGCTGCAGTACGTCTATACCAAGGCCCATAGGGCTCAGGATGAGCAGGGCGATCAGAGCGGACGAAACGTCAGCCATATCTGCTTGGGAAGGGGAGCCACGCTTTACTAAAGCACGGTGCGCAAAGCGTGCTGAAAGGCGCCCTCCTATTGGTCAAGACGCCGTTCCATTCTGTTAGCGTGCACCGTCGCTCCTTCATTGCAGCGGCCACTGATGGAGACCTTGCTAATATGACAACTGTACACTCTTTGCTTTGTACCATGACACGCGTAATATTTTTAATGCAGGTTTCATATTAGCAGTCTTCTTCCATTTAGGAATTATATACAATCACATACATATATACAAAAATAAATTATATTCAGCGTCTACTTAGTGATTTACAGTAAAGTAATATATACAATGTTTTCTTGATAACTGAGATAACTTACAACTGCACAATTCCTTGTTAGTCTTCTTCACTTGGGTTACTCATTTGGGTTTTTTTTGGTTGAAACTCCAATTTTTCACCTGCATTTTTTCACTTGACCAGTAATTATGGAGAACCAGGTACAATTAATACAAGGTTTATGATTGCATGCTATTTCCATTGTTAAAATCATTGTTCAGTTACTTTCATGTACACCCCAAATTCTTTTTAATATTGATAATGAAATCAAATGAACAACAAGAAGGCTTCTCGTGTTCATGACTGTTTAGAACTGAGTGTTCAGATGTTCTCTAGTGGTAGAGTCCAGCCACACCTCTGATGCAGTATCTGGATTTCAAAACTGGGCAGTCGGCCCAAATGCGCAGAGCAACATCCTCCCTGAGTACCAAGTGTCTTAAGAGTCCTCCGTGGGCTTGTCTTTGCCTTTGCTCAGTCAGGCTCCTTCTGTGGCCTTTCTTCAGTAGTAGGCTGGTTCTCTGAGCAAGCCAGTTTGGATATGGCATGGAAAAGGTGCAGGAGATTGCGGAAGCGCTTAGCAACCTGAAGAATGGAGAGGAGTGAGCAGCAATACTTACAACATAGGGAGAGGTACATTCAGGACAGGACACCAGGCTATACAAGTATTAGTCATCCGTCGCTTAACGACTGGGATACATTCTAAGAAATGTGCCATTAGTCGATTTCATCGTTGTGCAAACATCAGAGTGTACTTACACAAATCTATAACCTACTACACAGCTGGGCTATATGGTGTAGTCTAAATAACAATAAAAACTATAGTAAAATACTCAGGTCTATAGCCCCCACTGAAAGGACCTAATGATGCCCATGGTAAATACATAAACCAGTAACAGTTATCATATCAAGTACTGAAAATAATTGTATGTGCTATACTATTGTACAGCTGGCAGTGCAGTACGTCTGTTTACACCAGCATCACCACAACCACTTATGTAATGCGTTGGGTTATGATGGCTATGACATCATAAGGTGACAGGAATTTTTCAACTCCGTTATAATTTTATGGGACCACCATCATATACACTCACCTAAAGGATTATTAGGAACACCATACTAATACGGTGTTTGACCCCCTTTCGCCTTCAGAACTGCCTTAATTCTACGTGGCATTGATTCAACAAGGTGCTGAAAGCATTCTTTAGAAATGTTGGCTCATATTGATAGGATAGCATCTTGCAGTTGATGGAGATTTGTGGGATGCACATCCAGGGCACGAAGCTCCTGTTCCACCACATCCCAAAGATGCTCTATTGGGTTGAGATCAGGTGACTGTGGGGGCCATTTTAGTAGTGAACTCATTGTCGTGTTCAAAAAACCAATTTGAAATGATTCGAGCTTTATGACATGGTGCATTATCCTGCTGGAAGTAGCCATCAGAGGATGGGTACATGGTGGTCATAAAGGGATGGACATGGTCAGAAACAATGCTCAGGTAGGCCGTGGCATTTAAACGATGCCCAATTGGCACTAAGGGGCCTAAAGTGTGCCAAGAAAACATCCCCCACACCATTACACCACCACCACCAGCCTGCACAGTGGTAACAAGGCATGATGGATCCATGTTGTCATTCTGTTTACGCCAAATTCTGACTCTACCATTTGAATGTCTCAACAGAAATCGAGACTCATCAGATCAGGCAACACTTTTCCAGTCTTCAACTGTCCAATTTTGGTGAGCTCGCGCAAATTGTAGCCTCTTTTTCCTATTTGTAGTGGAGATGAGTGGTACCCGGTGGGGTCTTCTGCTGTTGTAGCCCATCCGCCTCAAGGTTGTGCGTGTTGTGGCTTCACAAATGCTTTGCTGCATACCTCGGTTGTAACGAGTGGTTATTTCAGTCAAAGTTGCTCTTCTATCAGCTTGAATCAGTCGGCCCATTCTCCTCTGACCTCTAGCATCAACAAGGCATTTTTGCCAACAGGACTGCCGCATACTGGATGTTTTTCCCTTTGCACACCATTCTTTGTAAACCCTAGAAATGGTTGTGCGTGAAAATCCCAGTAACTGAGCAGATTGTGAAATACTCAGACCGGCCCGTCTGGCACCAACAACCATGCCACGCTCAAAATTGCTTAAATCACCTTTCTTTCCCATTCTGACATTCAGTTTGGAGTTCAGGAGATTGTCTTGACCAGGACCACACCCCTAAATGTATTGAAGCAACTGCCATGTGATTGGTTGATTAGATAATTGCATTAATGAGAAATTGAACAGGTGTTCCTAATAATCCTTTAGGTGAGTGTATGAAGACCGTTGTTGATGAAATGCCGTTATGCAACAGCTCCTTCTACCCATTTCATTGTAAACAGAATACAAGATAATTAAAATGAAATAGCATTCTATTAAAACATTGATAAAAAAATGATGACATGACACAATATAATTTCAACGTATTCTGTCTGATGAAAGAATATCTTTTTACCTCACTGGCTGATTTATTGCCCAGCTGAGCTGAGAGTGCTTGAAAAGTGTTCCAGTTGGCTCCTTGCTTTTGACAAGTGAGTAAAATCAAACGGTCGGTTTCCCTGATGGACAAAGACACGTCATATAGTGCTTCATTATATGCATACAATGCCATGTTTCATTTAATAGACAGCAGTGTCCCAGATGAGAGCTACCATGGCAATATTCACTACTTCTCTTCCATCTGCATTTCTAGTTATTTTGCCCTGCAGCTGGAAGTTCAGTACATAACTGAGCAATTTTCTTGAAAAAAAAAAAAAAACACTCTCCTGGGTCAGATGGTACCACATATCAAGTTAATCATATGGCTTGAGTGTCAGAAGATATCTCAGAAATTTTCAATGTACTTCCATAATGACAGCATTTTACTAATATACATTTACTTAACCCCATTATGTCTTATGTTTAAATAATTTTCATGCATAACCTTTAATTTATTCTTAATCAGAAGATCTGAAAATTCCCTACAGGTAGATACTAGTTTGGCTTACCTTGTCCACACAATGACTTTCTCACCACTTGGTGTGAGGGAAATGTTTTTAGCAGGAAGTACAGGATCTGCGAGTGGGCTGCTGTGGGCCTGCTTGGGACCTGGGGGGTTCTCACTCTCTCCTCTGCCCTCGCTGACTTTTCCATCCACTTGCTCCATTCGCTCCTCCTCCTTGTTTTTTTCTGTGTGTTGGAGGACTCTGTCTTTAGGATCAATATTTCATACTTAATTTGATAAATGCCTATGTTATATTTTAGGGCTGAGCAATGTGTGATATATACCAGCATCATATGTTATGCACATGCAATTTTCATATCGCAAGGATTGTGATAGTCAGCTGGGTTGAGATCAGACTTACTCATACCTACATACCAGATATTATAGTGTGGTGGGTCTAAGTTTCACTAAATCATTCTTACTTTGTCATAGAAAACAAAACTTAGCAAGCATTGCAATTTTAACGATTGTTCGCAGCTTTTCAAGATTATCTAGTATGTTTAAAAAATCAGTTTAAAATTCACCTCCACTACTTCTGCATGAACACTACATGTGTTCTCTGAGTGAATCAATCATTTTCATCCTTGCTGTTTAAATCACTCATAGATGGGTTGGCAAGAAATTTATTTTTGCTTTATAAATATCCCAGTATTTATTACAACAAAATCACATCAAGATATTTGTATTTTTCCAATATCATGCAGCCCTAGTATATTATAGCATTTTTTTTCTTCCATGCTATCCAGGTCTTCTGGTTCTTCTCACCAGATCACAATTAAAGCTTGGGTCTCATAATTTGTCCACAAATATATTATAATTACTTTCTTTTATCGTTGTTTTTCTGAGATGGTAATTTTTTTCAAGACAGCAGTTGCACTGTGTTTCAGAGGCAGGCTATTTGATAACCAATCAATAATGAAGCACTCCCCTGCTTTAGTACTTTGGGTACTGGAACTTTTGGTACTGGTACTTAAGGGAAAAGGAAAAGTACCGAAAGTACCCATACCAAAAGTATGGTACCTGGTGCAGTGGAAAAGCTCCCTTAGAGCCATGTGTGTATCCAACCAGTTCCCAAAGAGTGAAATGGTATCTGTAATTGTAGAGTATGAATAAGTTTGCTTATTGGATGGATTTCTTCACCAGTCAACCCACACTGAAGTGCACTTTGTTCTAACCTCTCTCACCCTTGAGCTCTGTGCCCCACTTTCCTTCTCCTGGGTGAGTATGGGCTGGAGGGGCCTTTGTTGGGATGGATGTGATATAATGACTGTTCACCACCCTGGAAGACTTTTGACAGAGAAGCTATGTTATTGCTATGACATTACACATTTCAGTTTTTAATTGGGATCATTCAACACTGTCATCATAAAATTACTCCTACCCTTCCTGGAATAAAAAAAAGACAGCTTTTAACACTGATGGCTTTTCTTTTAACTTTGTTATTACGGGTGTCAGTGCCCTTGTAAATAAACCATTAAGTAAACACTTTCCTTTGTATTTTAGTGACTATACTCTAGACAGAGTCATAGTAGCAACAGAAGCTCCAAGTAGTTCTGTCATACCACCAATAGAGGCATAGATAATTAACTTGAATATGAAGTAACATGTACTCATTAAATCGTAGTATGAAAAACATGAGCCAGTAAAGGTGTGCCTCATTGACACAACTCCAAACCTTGTTTTTCCTGTGGATGCTGAGTTTCTCCATG